AAAAACAATGATATGAAAAAGATGAGAACAGTTTTCTAAGAAAGAAGAGTTTTTTCGGTTTTCGACCTGGTCTCACTATTTTGCCATTTTCTCCCCGAAAACTCAGTCAAATTGAGGTGAAAAGGTCATATTCGGAATCAGCACACTTTTTCCTATCCGAGTATGTGTTTTTCGTTCAAAAATAAAGACCCTCGGTAAGTTTGAATTACGCGCGCCTTACTTTCATAATAGTTTGCTTAAATGAATCTAAATTTTTGGTAAAAAGATTTTAAAATACGGAGAATCTGACGGTATGCATGGTTTGCTATATAGTGATTTAAAAACGGTTTTGCGAAGAAATCTGGTTTTCCAGAAAACTAGTCATATTTTGCGACGAATTCTGGTCTCCGGATATATAAAGCTAGCTTCTCTTGAGCGACTCAACTTAGTTTCACGGAAAGTCAATTTTTTCTCTTTTTCTATATTAGACTACTTAACTGATATTGATATGTAATAGTGTATTAATTTAATAAGAATAAAGAGTATGTAGTTTTCTGAACAGCAAAAATGTTCGTTTTGATTACCAAAGTTCTTTCTATCGAAATGATCACCAATTGTTCGTCGATGGTTTGCCGTACGCAGCACCTTCGTACCTAAATGACAACAAGTATTGTAATCCTAATGACACTCTATTAGAGTAAACCGGCTTGAAAATGAACTCATAGCATGAACCGTAAATTTTCTAAATGAGTAACTAAAGATAAAACTTTTATTTTCAAGAATTTTGCCGTAGAAAACTTGTGACTTTTTTGTCATGTTTTCATTTTTACTTTTTCACAAAATACATAAATAATCGAGCATCCGATAGTTTCTATGGAGAAAAAAGCTATGGGCGTGAGATGTGTATGGCGCTAGATCGACTCTTTTCTAAATTCAGACAAACAAAAGAAAGTTGTTTGCAGACCCATTACTCCTAAGACTAGTAAGCATCGAATATTAATTTATAGTACCGAAACCTTCGAGCGTTTACTTCTTTTGGGAGACAAGTTTTAATAAAAAAACGGTACCAGAATCACGTCTATGTTGGCAGAATATATATGTAAAAGCATGTTGAATAGAGTGATGTACATCAGTCGTTAATTATTCTTAAACATAAAACAGCTCATCGTGTAGAACATTGTTTTCTCTACAAATCTGTTACTATTGAAAAGGTTTTCATTTGAGTTAAACACTAAAAATAAGCAGATTAGTGAGTCATGCTCAGAATATTGTTAATGAGCAGAAAAAGCAAATCGCTTTTAAGCGACATGAGATTACTAGTCAGTTTGAATTAAATTACAATGAATACATGCAGTTTTTCCAGCACTATCTAATGATTTATTTGAAGGTATTTGCTGCTAAGTTCTAGGTTGACCAAATAAATTTTCATGTAAAACAAATTGGGTAAAAACTGACTTAAGATTTCATAGAAATAACTTTTTCTTCGTAAATTTTCGTTAAAGCCAACGAATTTTAACAACACAGTCTTATGTCTTGAATCCACTGTCATAGACACAGTTCGAACCCTTTAGGAAACGGTTCTTTTAAAAAATCTTGTTTTTTTCGTTATTGTTTAAAACTCAAAAAGATTACTGAGGGAACCATCGCGCGTGGTGAGAAACAATTTTGCTTGAGAATTGCATAAGAACTCAATACGAAACTAATACAAACTCTTATCACTTTCTTATGAAATTCTTATAAGATTCTTCCTCTACTCTTATCTCATTCTTATAAAATCCGTGTAACTTTCGTGCCACTTCTTATATAAGTATCTGGTAAGAATCGGATAAGGTTCTTAGCAAAAGCTGATAATATGCTGATAAGATCCTTACCAGATCCCATTCCAGTTCTTATATACGAATTGATGTCTAGGGGAGATACAAAAAACATTTATCACTGAAGCCGACACCGGGTTCCACTGAATCTCAGTATGACTTCTTTTTTGTTGTTGACATAATCTATGTGGCCTTTGCCTTTATTTTTCTAAAATAAGATTTCGGCAAAGACCACTTAAATTATGTTGACGCCAAAGAAGTAGTCATAACGAGATCCAAAGAAAGTCATTTCGTAGCGATTTCGAATCGAGCCAAGTTATTTTTGCCATTTTTTCGTTTTCGGTTTATTTAAATAAATGTGACTTCAGTTATGACTCAGACTCGCCCAGCCCTCGAGTATACACATCTGTTTTCGTTACTTCTTGAGATACCCGGTCTGTATTCACATGATTTTTCTGCTGAAATTGCAGTATGAGTACTGTGGCCCTTTGGCCTAACGGATAAGGCGTCTGACTTCGAATCAGGAGATTGCAGGTTCGATCCCTGCCAGGGTCGATTAACTATTTTTGGTCTCAATTTTTGCGCTTACGTTTAAACTTAGTTTTGTTTGTTGTAATGAATATAGTGCATAAGAGGGATTAACGATTTGTCTGCTACGGTTTTCTGTAGTAAGCGCAAAGTTTACGGGTGATCTGGAGATAACCAGTCAGTTTTCTCAGCAGGTTTCTTTCTGTTTAAGCACGATGGAGCAAAAAACGTTTTCTCGAGAAGAAGGGATGACAAAAACTTAGAGTAAATACAAATATTTTTTTAATCTGTACCTGGTGGAAGCATCTTGACCGATATTGTCGAACCAAATTTCTCAACAAAATGATCTAAATGAGTAAATTGATGATTAAAATATAACTCATTTACTAATATAAAGAATTCTCATACCATCATATTGAAAAACAGCTAACGCCGCTGTTTTACTGTCTCGAAAGGTAATTGTACAATATTTTCCAGCTTGATAATGCATTTTTTTATTACCGGTGGTATTATCATGCTAGAACAGAAAATATATAGCTGTTTAATAGAGATTCACACATTGCAAATATAACCCACTTCAATATCTCTAATATTGTAAAAAAATTGTAAATTTCATCTAGTGTTACTGTTGCTGGTAATTTTTCAACAAATATTGTTGTATTGTCGTTGCTATTAATTTCATTTTCCTTTTCATTATCGTCATCATTCTGAAAGAAAACTAGTGATAAAATTACAGCATACCAAGAAAAAATTTCCAGGACTACGGTTCCAGTAAAATAGTTGGTGTAGTGATGGGTTTTTGTAGTAATACATTTCCTAGGGATGCCGCTAATGATAATGCATCTGTTGATGATGATACTTTCGACGTTCCAGCAGCTTCTGACTGTATATCCTTCAAAACTGATTTTTTTGGTTGAACTTAAAAGAAAATAAACTTACTTTAAAAACGTTGAAAAGTATGATAGTTTACTACCTCCTTGAGCAGAAGTGCTTGGCTGGTGTTCCTCTGCTTGCTGATGTTCAACTATATGCTTGATCCGTACAGGCTCTTTAATTCGTTGTAGAGAGCAAGATATTTTATAATATTGTTCTTTAGTGATCAATTGCATCAACGGAATAGACTTAAGTCGCATAGTAGGCAAATTTTGAATAAAAATAACAAATAAGTCATGTGTCGAACATTGCTTCACTAACCAACAGACAAGAAAACAAGGCTTACAGAGTCATTCATCATGGATGTGAGCGTTAATCGGAGCCAGTATTGGGATGGTAAATGGAAAGGTGCATACACTACCAGTACGAAGGAGGGTTTATTGGGCTTTAAGAGGAACGGTTACAGTTCCTCTGTTTCTGGGCACTATTTCTTATCCAGAGCTAGTTTCGACTGGACTTCGAAGCGCTTCTAATTAGTGGCGGGGGAAAATGGAGAAAGAGCGTGTTTGTACTTCAGAAAAGTTGAAAAAACACCCTTCTCCTGCGGACATCGTATTTGACCAAATTTGGCAGTTAAGAGCTTCTGGCACAAATTTTGATGTCCTTCATGTATTGTTTCTCGACAACTTTCCGAATCTTTAGCGTGTATCTTTTAACAATTTTTATAGCCGCATAGCTGATCACACGATTGTGGCATGTTTTCATGGATTTCTTTCTTTCGTGTAAACGTTATTGTGGTTTTCCTCCTCGAATTCAACTTGTTCTCCGGTGTGTCAGATATTGTTATGATATTGAAACCTGTAAACGGAATAAAATTAAGTCGCATAGTAGGCAAATTTTGAATAAAAATAACAAATAAGTCATGTGTCGCTTCTCTTCATTTGATTTGAAATGAAAATATTCATCAACGCTTTGCCCTGAAGGCAGAAACCCTTATTTGCTGTAGCTCTTTAGTTCATTATAGGTAATATATACATTCAAATTTGGCACTTTCACTTGTTGGTCTCGTCCCCATGTAAGGACGAGGTAGGGTTTAACCCGCTAAGGGACATTGAAACGACTGTTATCATTGTGCTTATAATTGCTTCAAACCGCAGGATATTGAAGGATTTTCTTGACTTTTCAATTTTCTTCGATCACCTCGCATCTATGGTGACGCCGCGTTCAAAGAAAGTACCTGCCCAATAATACTTTTCTTTCTCACTGTTCGTTGAATAAGATCTCATGCAATGTCTTTACAGTGCAACAAATGTGGCATGATTCTGATCGAAAGCTGGGACAAGAACATCGTATTATATATTAAATTCTAAAAATGTCATATGATACGGAGAAAGATTACCAGCAAAATGGCTCTGCCTGTATCCTCTTAAGATAGCATCATTATGGAACTCGAATAATGAAACCTAAAAGCTTAACTGCTCAGTATTCAAAATCAATCTGTCTCGTGTCAAAGACACTTTCTCCTACAATAAGAATGACGCGAGAGAGAAATCGTTACTTCTCAAACCTATCAGTTCAACATAAAAAAGAGCTTCTCGTAAGTGAAGAACGCCTGATTGTCGGCAGTCCATAGTCAAAATATTAACTGTTATTGATAAGGAGCGCTGAAAACTGAACAATGCAAGTAAAAACTAGTTGTAAATGTATGGCTAGATGCCATTCAGTTTTGTTCAGTTCTCTCTTCTACTTTTCATCGTTGCCATTGCATGTCAGCAAGTGGTGTTTGTTGACAAATAATAAAGGATGACAATGGCTGCATCTACCCTCGTCATTTATAGCTTTTCAAGTGCTTTTAGCATTTTTCAGACAGCATCTCGTTGGAAAAAGCCAACCTCTTCCATTCAATCGGTACAGGCCTGTTGAAACTTTTATGTAAACGAAAAAGTCATTAGATGCGTTCGTCCTTCTTTTATTTTTCTATCACAAAGAGAATAGGTGATATGTCTCGGCTATTGTTGCCACACAAGAAAATGAACGCAGGGGTTTTGTCTTACATAAATATTTCAAAACTAAACCTTTGTGTTTTTGACATCTGCTTGCGAAAGAAAACCGAGTATTTGACTTCGTCAGTTAAAAGTAATCCGTGTCGACATGTATACGCGCCTTCGCCTTTACTAGATATAAACTGTTATTTGTCGAAAACATGTGCTTCTCGGAGAGAAAGACTTCTGAACTGTATTTTATATACTGTCGTTTAAATACTCGTTTCGAAAGGAAGATTAAAAAGGATGCAGAAGTGCGGTACTTTAAAAAGCTGAAGGTGCTGCTGGAAAGTGCAGTGGCGTCTATCTTTTAGTGTGCTTGAGGCAAACTGCCTAAAAATATAAACGTTTTTGGGAGTTACGAACTTGGGCATGAATCAATGTCAATGCCCTCAAATCAAATGAAATTTTACACATAATTAGAATATGAGAATGGTGCGGCCAAGGTGTTCAAACACGAATTCGCAGATGCGTATTTCACTTCGGTGCAGTTAACCGATACTTCGAGCACTGTGTAAACATACCAAATGTGCGGACACGAATTCGGTAAAATTGTCTGACTTTTTTAAAAGTTAATTCAACAATGGTGGCAGTGTGCCGTTTTGCACATTATTAGTGCCAAAGATACGACAACAACGTGCAAGATCGAATTCGTCAAGCTATTCAAATTTTTCAACAAACTAAAAAAATTGAATTGTCAATTCGCTATGTAGCAATGTGCATTTTTGATCCACAGCGATTTTTCGTCTACAGCGAAGTGCATTTGCGAATTAGCTGACTCCTCAATCAGTTGTGTTCGTAAAATGCTGAGAATTTTCAGCAGCATCTAATATTGCAATTCCTGCTGTTCGTCCACGCTTAGCAAGGTGCATTTACTAATTGTCTAGTTCTATCATACATTTCGCATTTGCGAATCCTTCGAACATGAAAATTGGTGAGTACTATAAAACTTGGATCTAACAATGTGCATTTGCGAAATTCGTAAAATGGTCTCAGTTCGTAAAATGCCCTTAACAGTGTGCATTTACGAAATGAAATAATTAAACGAAGTAAAGTGTTTCATTTTTATTGTATAAAAATTTCAAATCAACAGTTTGCACGGTGCAAAGTGCATTTCGTTTCTGAACGCCTTGGCCGTACAATTGGAATATGACGAAAAACAGCAAAAAGTAGCAGATCAGATATATATATTACTGCAAGATGCGACATGTATTTCGCATCAGTCTAAGGGGGGGAAAGGTGCTGGAGCAAGACAATGAGGAGAAAGGAGAACGCTCCTCAGATTGCAAGGCGGGAAAAAGATAAAGCTCATTGCATTCCTTTGAACTGCTTGGAATGAACGAGTCTGATACAGACGTTTTTACAGAATGAACACGCTCTTCTTATGATATAGTCGAACACTTTGATGCGTAGCTCGAGATGGGACGTAGCCGAAAGCTGCGCCAGGAACATCGTACTGTAGAATAAATTCTGAAAATGTTATGTGATACGAAGAAAGGTTATCAGAGAAATGGCTCTGCATGTATTCTTTCAAGATAGCATGATTATGGAAGTCAAATATTGAAAAGCAAAAGCTTAAGTGCTCAGTATTCAATCTGAGGATGAATGCCACTGTGACACAATCTTTACAAGGGATTACAATGATGGGCATTATGAAAGAATTGTTTTCCTGTTATGCTACAATTATTAATTGAGAATTAATTAGAAACACATGCAGTGCTGAAGTCGAATAATGAAAACAAAAAGCTTAAGTTTCTCAGTAACAAAACGAACGAAACTCTTTACTTTTCTAAAATGAAACATTTCATTTCAGATTTCGAAGTTCCAATATTCTGTTGCACGGCCATATTGTATGTTTAATTCCAAAAATAAATATTATGCTACCTATGTGTAAAATTTCATTAATTTCAGAGACAGACGAGCATTGACAGAAAACAGTTATGTATGCCAACCTGATGATATGACATCATTCGAAAAATATTATAAGGTGGTGTTTGCTCAAAAAGACCAGCAAAAGAAAGCCGACAAACAAAATGAGTATGAACAGTGCGCCTATTATGAAGCATAGAAGAAAAACCGCTTGAGACCAATGGCTGCCAAGTGGTCTGTTTCGAATGATGAAACGAATGAAACCCAGATTGCTCAATTGTTTAAATTGACAAGTACAATTATTTAGAAGGTTTATTGCGAAATCATTACAATTGCCTTCCTTCCAGTGGAATGGGGGAGGTTGACAAAGTGTAAATCTCTCTTCGATGCATTCTAGTATTGTACAGGAATCATTTTTCTCACACACCGTTTCGTAGCGCGTGGACGGATAAATGATACTCCTCGGTTTTTCATATGGATAAGGCAAAGTACTTCGTCGCTTAACTGGAATTTGCCCAAATGTGGAAGCAGAAATTTCAAATCGAATTGCACTTTCATTCTCATGACATACCACGACAACTGAACAGTGCACTGCATGCAATTTGTTTCCCAACCAAGATACTGCAACTCTCATTCGCTCACATTCAATGAAAACCAACGTGGATTTCCCCTCCTTATAAGAACATTCTGTCGATGGACAAGGAAATAATAGAATGTTACAAAAAACAAAACTGACCAACTTTTCCATTTCCATTCCAGAATGACGTAATCTGCAATGAAAACAAAAATTGATTAGAATTAACCACTTTCTGCCAGCAAAAAATCACGAAAAACCTTGAAAAGATCACTATTCGAAGCATAAAACCTCTTGATTGCATCGAGAGAAATTTACCAGACAAGGAAGCATCCCAGAAACCATCATTAGACGCGTTCTACCTTCTTTTATTTTTCTGCCACAAAAAGAACACATGATATGTCTTCGTCTATCACTGAAACACGAGAAAATGATCGCAGGGGTTTTGTTTTACATAAATATTTCAAAACTAAACCTTTATGTTTTTGACATCTGCTTGCAAAAGAAAACCGAGTATTTGACTTCGTTAGTTAAAAGTAAGCCGTGTCGGCATGTATACGCCCATTCGCCTTTACTAGATATAAACTGTTGTATGTTGAAAACGTGTGCTTCTCGGAGAGTAGCTTCCATTCAGTTATGCTCATTTCTCTCTTCTAGTTTTCATCACTTCGTCGTTGCCATAGCACGTCAGTAGGTGGTGTTTGTTGACAAATAATAAAGGATGACAATGGCTGCACCTACCCTCGTCATTTATCGCTTTTCAAGTGCTTTTAACATTTTTCGGACAGCATCTCGTTGGAAAAT